TCAGCTTTGTAATCGTTACGGTGGCCAATTTACCATTTCAACTTTGTTGATATATCCAAATTAATATATGAATTATACTGCAACCAGTTGGGAGAATTATTAGTCTTGCCAGTAAAGGGGTTAAAGGATAATATGTTAACCTCAAAATGTTATTTCAGATAAACACCTTTAACCACTCATAACTGTTTTAAGAAGGTTGGTGGAAGGTGGGGGAAAGCAAAATCTTACTTAATCTTACATGTTGATTGTCCTGCTGTGGGACTCATAATGGATTCTTCAACTTGTTTCTGCATCTCTTTTAACTTTTCTGCTTCTTCTTCCATCTCCTTCACTCTTGCTTTAATAGCTTCAAGTTCCTTCAATGTACCACCACATATAATTTATAAAATAACTTAAGAATCTAAAGTTACCAGGTATGCATTCCAATACAGCTAACAAGGCTTAAACAGAGAGGTGTTGCTTTCAACAGTCCATTTAAAATTTTGCCCGAGTGTGATTGGTTTAAACACTTCACAAGACTAAAAATAGTATTTTGAAGTAACACATGTACTCGTCTGAGAGGTAATTTAACACTATCCTACTAAGTAAGTCAGTTCCTCTAAATTTAATTTAATTCAATTTGTACATTGTCTCACAACTTAAAAACAAAGCTCAGTAGCGAAAGCCAAAAAATGGCGGTGACCCTTTCAGCTCAATGAATAAAAGATATCGTGAGCAACACCATGCAATGCAAACTTCAAGGTTACCGGATCTTCCAATGAGTCATCTACTGTAGGATCCACTCCCGCAATATCTCCCAAAACGGCATCGTCGTCCTTTGATGTGTGGAGAGCTGCGTCTAGCAAGCTATCTTGAGCGGTTTCATCTAAATCCGCCATTTCTTTGAGAAAATACCTAACTAAATAGCAGTAGAGTTATTTTAAGACCAACTATGCAATGTTTCGAATACTGGAGACGTTAATGAAGCCCGATGCAGACGGATGGCGCTCAACACGCAGCAAATCCTAACCTTTAGCGTTCCAAAATCCAAGATGGCGATTACGGCTTCGTCACATGACTATACCAATAGTTACCTCGTCATATATGATATCGTATAGTTTCTACTTGAATCAAGTTACGGGGAAGTTACATTATAAGTTACCATGAAGTGTGTTCCTGGTCGTGTTTCAGAAGTTGAAAGTTTGAATTTTCCAATTATCCGATTTAAACGACTCTCTTTCTTACTACCTCGTTCGGTTATCCAACATTGAGTGTTTTGAGCGTTTCAAATGACATAGGAAGGAGTTAAAAAGCGGAGAAAGAGGAACTGGTTGTCTGTAGCGCGCAAAAATCATGTTTGTAGCTCGCGAAATTCCTGCAGAACACAAAGATTTAATTCACGATGTGTCGTATGATTACCACGGAAGAAGAATGGCTACTTGTTCCAGTGATCAAAGTGTTAAGGTCAGAATCTGATAAATTACCATTAACAACAATGTTTACTCCGTATGATGCACGATCCTTCGCAGTAGGTAGCACTATTTCTGCAATAGCGAAAATCAGACCTGAAAAAAATCAGGCCTGTACGGGATTCCAACCGCTGACCTCTGCGATACTAGTGCAGCGCTCTACCAATTGAGCTAACAAGCCAACTGGGAGCAGGCCGTTAAGTTGATTCGTAATAAACCCGTTATGATAAATCAGATACAATGAATATATGAAGTTCATATATTCATTGTATCTGATTTATCATCACGGGTTTATTACGAATCAACTTAACGGCCTGCTCCCAGTTGGCTTGTTAGCTCAATTGGTAGAGCGCTGCACTAGTATCGCAGAGGTCAGTGGTTCGAATCCCGTACAGGCCTGATTTTTTTCAGGTCTGATTTTCGCTATTGCATAAATAGCGCTATCTACTGCGAAGGATCGTGCATCATACGTATTTAATACCGCAGTTCAAAATATATGAACTTCATATATTCATTGTATCTGATTTATCATCACGGGTTTATTACGAATCAACTTAACGGCCTGCTCCCAGTTGGCTTGTTAGCTCAATTGGTAGAGCGCTGCACTAGTATCGCAGAGGTCAGTGGTTCGAATCCCGTACAGGCCTGATTTTTTTCAGGTCTGATTTTCGCTATTGCATAAATAGCGCTATCTACTGCGAAGGATCGTGCATCATACGTATTTAATACCGCAGTTCAAAATATATGAACTTCATATATTCATTGTATCTGATTTATCATCACGGGTTTATTACGAATCAACTTAACGGCCTGCTCCCAGTTGGCTTGTTAGCTCAATTGGTAGAGCGCTGCACTAGTATCGCAGAGGTCAGTGGTTCGAATCCCGTACAGGCCTGATTTTTTTCAGGTCTGATTTTCGCTATTGCATAAATAGCGCTCTCTACTGCGAGGATCGTGCATCATACGTATCTAATACCGCAGTTCAAAATATATGAACTTCATATATTCATTGTATCTGATTTATCATCACGGGTTTATTACGAATCAACTTAACGGCCTGCTCCCAGTTGGCTTGTTAGCTCAATTGGTAGAGCGCTGCACTAGTATCGCAGAGGTCAGTGGTTCGAATCCCGTACAGGCCTGATTTTTTTCAGGTCTGATTTTCGCTATTGCATAAATAGCGCTATCTACTGCGAAGGATCGTGCATCATACGTATTTAATACCGCAGTTCAAAATATATGAACTTCATATAGATTGCTGGAAACTCTTTGCTCAGCCCCGGAATTATACTAATAAATGATACAAAACAGTAAATTGCTGATTTGTAAAAGTTATTAAGTACTTCATGCTGTGACTTCTTTGTTCAGTCAGGGATTAATTAGACACGGGGTAGCCATCACTAGGTCAAGGTTTAAGTCCTGGTCTGAGTCATTGAGTTTTTGTCTTGTGCAAGATAGTTTAATTTCACTCAGGGCTCTACACTAACTTCTCAACTTACTAGCCAAATGGCTAGGGACATCTTTGATGTTATGACAATTTCAGTTTGTTTGCTAGCCAAACTGGCTGGTGAAAATCAAACACCACTAGCAAAACTGAATTTCTACTAGTCTGTGGCTAGTGGGCTACTGTTAGTGTCAAGACCTGTTCACTGCTGCCTGATTAGCTCAGGCTGTAGAGTGCTGGACTGCTGTTTCGGTGATGGAAGGTTCAAGCCTGACCAAACCAACACTTGGGATCTCAAATTAATCAAGATGATGTTACTCCTCCTGGTTAGCTCAATTGGTTAGAGCGCTGGATTGTGTTGTATAGGAGGTCGAGGGTTCGAGTCCCGGCCGGACCAATACTCATGGTATTAAAGTAACTGAGGAGAATTTGCTACCTTTCTACAACATCAATGAAATGGATAGACATTCTAGTCTTCTCGGATAAGGATGAATAAATGGAGGTCCTGTCTCCTGCAGGGTTTGGTGTAGGAGACTTTAATTTCCCACACACGAGATTACTGTGTGATGGACGTCCTCCCCTGGGGTGGGAGGTGTAGGGGGAAAAGGTGAGGTCAGTACATGGACTAAAAGCGGCTGCCAGAGGCGCCTGATAATGCTGACATCCGATCTCAACCTTAGTAACACTGTAGACCTTAGCAATTCAGCCTATGCTGCTATTAAGGTATTGAATCATTCACTTTCACTTTCACTAAATAAATATCATTGTATAGGTTTGGGATCTTGGAGAGGATGGTCAGTGGCATTGTACAGCAAGTTGGAAGGTACTGAACAATATATTTGGAAATAATACTATGTCTTCTGTCACTACATTGGAGCATTCTTGATTTGATGCAACTAGTAGCTTTTTTTTAGAGAGTTGGAAATTAGAACCATGCCTGGCTGAGGTGGGGAATTTGAACTAGAAGTGCCAACTCTTTCCAGAGGAATACAAGTGTTATATCTTAAAATATGGAGGTGTTTATGGAAAATAGTTCACTTTTCCAAGCAAATGTCTACAAGGTTTCAGTGTCTAGGTTTTAAAGCTTAGTCAATGTGTAGAAAGTCACAGTCACTGATTTTGCCTTTTTACAAAAAATTGGGTGGGGCATTTGAACACAATTTTTGCCTTGGATTGTGGGAATTTGAACAAACCAATCCTCAAATATCCAGGTGGTTGCTGGCAGGGGGCAGGGGGGATGCGAAGCTTTGAATTAATAGAGGCTTTATTGACATGAAGATTAGATTTTCCTTCTGCCTTCCCTGTGTCTTCATGAATAGTAATTGAAAGTTCTCATTTCCCAGACCCACTCTGGCTCAGTATGGAAAGTAACTTGGGCACATCCAGAATTTGGCCAGGTGCTAGCTTCATGTTCCTTTGACAGGACCGCTGCAGTATGGGAAGAACAAGGTAAAACAAACTACCTCTGTCACCTGTAACAGTATTGTGATGTTATATTTGGGAATTATGACTGAGATATTGAGAGCTATAGGTTTGAAATTATTTTCAAACATTCAGTGTGTTGCCAGGAGCAAATTTTAAAATTATTGCTTCAGTGAAGACAGGGGATAATTCAAATCAACACAATTGAGTGTGCATTTACAACTGAAGAAAGTATCATGGTCATGGAAACATTTTTAGTTACTTAATTATCACACGTGGCCCAATTGGGATGTAAAGAGTAAGATCAAAATTTAAATATTTTTAATCATTGTAAAACCAATGAAAATATACCCTATCAATAGTATAAAATATAAGAGAAACAGAGCAATGTGAAGAAAATCATTATCAGGTGACATTCTGTTGGATTTTTTATTTTATTGGAGTTGTGTTATCTCTGGTGTTTTACTCATAACTATTGAAAGCTATCTATTAAAAAAAGTTACATCACATGTTGTTGCATTAACAGACCAACTTGAATATCATTTATTTTATAGATTATATCATGTCAAGAAATTTTGAAACATATAATTTTAATTCAGTTGTAGGGTCTGGTGATGGCATATCACAAAGGCAAAGTCATTGGGTAAGAACTATAAAACAAGTTTTATGGTATTCCCTTGGATAAATGCCAGGGGGCTTATTTAGATTTTTGGCTAAAAGGAGTGGTGCTCATTGGAGGGAGGGCGCTTAATCAAAGCTGTGAACCTGTTCTGACCCTGCTGAAGTTAAAGCTTAAAAAGGAATAGAAACAGGTTTTGCTTGTGCATGTATCCTAACTATTTAAGAAAGTGAGGGAGGCAGGAAAGTGGGGGTGCTTTTCAAGGGGGGTGCATGTTTGACATTATGGTCCCACCCCAGGATAGATGCTTTCTTAATGACTTTTATATGACATAGCATGGAATCTTATTTCATGGATTAGCTCTTCTATTTTGGTGATTTAAGTGAGTATGGATAATACATATTGACACTTTATTGACACTTTATTGCCACAAGAAAAATCTAATTCTACAGACCAAGTATTGTGGCAGCAAGATCTGTGAAAATAAAAAGTCATAAAATTCATGCAACACAGTGTCATTATTTTTCTTTATTTAGGAACATTTACTTAATAAAATAATGTAACATACCATCCATATTTTCAGGTGAAAAGGACCTCCCTCGTTGATAGTAGAACCTCTGTAACAGATGTCAAGTTTGCTCCGAAACATTTAGGACTACAGTTGGTAGGTTATGACACTAGTGAATAAACAAGTGAAGAATCAAATGTATAAAAGTAATCCTTGCTGTAAAGAACACTACTTATGTAGTAGTGGAAATAAGGCCTGAAAAAAATTCAGACCTGTGCTGGATTTGAACCTATGACCTCTGTGATACCGGTGCAGTGCTCTACCAACTGAGCTAACAAGTGAGTGAAGAATCAGTTTCAAAATAATGTTGCATGGCTTTATACCTATGGTGTAATTTAAAAAGTTTGCAACAGACAAAGTAACTGTTTGTGTGGTCTCTCCAATGAAAAATTCTATGTCTCAAAGGACCCTTGACTATATTTATCTTTTGTCTAAATAAGTGAAGTTCATTCTAAAGTTTGTTTCTTAACTAGTCTTGAATCTCCTTGAAACTTACCTTGAAGTGTAAAGTTTGTGATTGCACAAAACGGATCTGCTGTTGCTATTTTGTTTTGTGTAGGCCACATGTTCCAAGGATGGCACTGTTAGAATTTATGAAGCTCCTGATATTATGAATTTAAGCCAGTGGCAGCTACACGTAAGTGGCAACTTGGACTGTTTGCATCTTCTTTATTTGTTAGTTTTGTCATCAGTAGACAGTTTTAGCAACAAAAATATTGGTTTCACTTTTAAAAACGGTATCAGCATAAAGGATGGAATTGTTTAGTTTTATTACACTAAATATTATTGATAGTATTTCTTTGGCTTCTTAATGAGAGGTCTCATTGTTGGAGTTCTTGGAGGTCTACTTTATATAATTTCTTTACATGGAAAAATCATATGTTGCACATTCAGTTTTTTATTATTCAGTAGAACCTCATTGCCTTGGTTTATTCAGTAGAACCGCATTGAAATGGTTTGAGTGAGTGGGGGTTTCAATTTGTGGGATTGGTGTTGAATTTCAACTATCCTGTAAATAACTGATAAGGAATCGTACTTTTACCATTGCATAATCAAGAGTCAATTTCACTCATTTTGTTTGTTTTATAAGAGCTTTTACAAGATGTAGTGTTTATTTCTATTGGATAGATACCTTAGTTATTACATAATCTGAATTCCATTGGTTACCACACCTTAACCCCAAACACATGATTATCCATATATTTATCTTAAGTTCATCAGTATTCTAATAAAGTAGTTGTGTAGAGCACTTGGTCTGTGCACATGTTACCCTATAGTAGTATACATCAAACCCTAATACACAACACAAGAGCAGTTAGTTTGGAAAGTTTAGGCTAGCTAAATGTATTGCATATTGAATGGTATCACATTGATATCAATTAAAATTGAAGGTTGGGAGGTGTCAATCAGCTGTGTTCTGACACTTAATTTAAGTGTTTATCAACCAACATTTTTACTTGAAGTTCAAGGTATCAAGATAAATCTGAGCCAAGGGAAATTGAATTAGTTCAAGTTAACAGGGAGCTATAGCTACCTGATGGTAAATGACTGAAAAAATGGGCTCAAATCCAAGGACAAATTTAAATCATGTCTTGTTTGAGTTAGTGGGTGTTCAAGTTAACCAGGTTTGAGTCAGCAGGGTTCTAAAGTATTTACTGCATTGACAATATGTATCCTAGTCAGTGAAATCACAAAGTGATACATGATTAAACTATATCATTCTTCTTGCAGAATGAGATCTCACACAAACTGAGTTGTAGCTGTGTGTCATGGAACTTATCAAGGTACAAGAAATGAATTGTTATGATCCGAGCCATGTTCATATAAGAAATGTTGGGTGCCTGAAGGTTCTTGCTTCCAAATTCTGGGGTGAAAGTTTGTTAAAATCAAGGAAAGATTTCAAAGATAGTCTGTTATGGCACCAGGGCTTTGCCATATTATTTCAAAAGGGAAAACTTTGTGGTTCAAATAGCATTGACCTGATCATAAAATTCCTAGTCTGGTCTTCACGCATATTTGTATGATTGGGAATCTAGCATCTTCTCCTTATATGTTACT